CGGCAGCAACATTGGAATTTTGAGAGGGAACGATTTCGGTTGTTTCTTGGGCATTTACATCTGATGTATTCCTTAAGTTTTGAGTGTGCTCATCACCTTGTGTTGTCGAGACGTCTGCTCCCTTTAATGGAACTTCTTCAGGCGTGCTCAAATCCGTTTTGTGTTGTTCCTCTTGTACCGTTCTTTGACCGTCGAGCCCTGTCGAAGGCGCTGCATGTGGTGGCCCCTGCAGACTGTTCTCTGTCTGTCCTTCGCCTAGCGATGTCTCAGCGTCGCTTGGCCCGCCCAGCGAAGCCCCAAGCTGAACTTCGGCGGCCTTTACGCCAGTAGAAGCACCCGATGCTGAGTGCCCTTCCGCTTCTCCTGATGGCGACGGTTCATTTTCTCGTGACGGTGACCCGCCCAGTCCTCCGTGCTCCCCTGACGGCCCAGTTGTTTCTTCTCTCGAAACTTCGGCGCCATGCGTATCCGCCTGCGGATTATTTTCCTCCCCTTCCTCCTTTGCTCCGGCGGGTTGTGCGAGCCCGCCGCCGGCAGCGCCTTCGACACCGCCGCCCACTCCGCCGTGGCCAGACACCGCCCCCTCCTCCGCCCCATCGCCCTGCAGACTCGCCCGCAGCCCACGCACAAACTCCGGCTTGCGGCCGCAGTACTTCGCCGCAATTTCCGCCTCACTCATGTCCTTCGCGACCGCCCGCAAGTCCCTCCAGTCGCGCTCCGTGCAGTAGCCCTCCCCCTCCGCCGCCCAGCCCCCGCCGGCGGCGCAGCACAGCGCGCAGAGGGCGCACACCAACAGCGCACGACCGGCCATCGCCACACTCCTCCCACTGCAGCAAACACACAGACACGCACAGCGTCTAGCGAGGGGCAGAAAGAAGGAGAGAAAAAAAGGGACAAACACACACACACACAGATATGAGCAGCCCGCGGAATGGATGCATTCAACCAACACACACAAGCAGAGAAAGAAGGAACGGTCGAGACATTGCCGTCCCGCTAAGGAAGAAAAGCAGCAACGGCAAAAGACGGTTTTGTGTACGTTACACAGCATGTGCCCTCACGATAGACAGGCAGCGGCAAACCGCACACCGCAACGGGACCCAAAGGGCACTTTTTTCCCTCCCGCCACATACACACAAAGTGGACGAAGTGGACGTGCCGGCGACCCCCACCCCGCCCCTCCCGCGGCCCCCTTCGCAGCGCCCACGTCGTTTGCTCCCCGACCCCGCGAACTCCCCCACCCCCCGCGGGACTCTTGCCGGATGCCACGCAGCCCCACGCGGCACTCACCCGCAGCCGCCGCGAAAAAAAAAAACGTCACCGACGGCAGCCGCCCCCTCCCCCACCGAAGCGCCCGCAGGCGCACCGCCGCTGCGCAGCACGTGCACGAGCGCCGTGCCGGCGACCGCCACTTCCCCCGAGTCCTCCGGCAGCCACGCGCCCCGCCAGTGCACCGCCGCACCCGCCGCAGCCGCCGCAGCCGCAGGGCGCACGCATCATGCGGGACGCCGTGCGAAGTGACGCTGCCTCCCGCAGGCGTCGTGCGGCTTTTTTATTTTGTTTTGGCTCAGCGCGACTGTCCGCGCCTCCGTAGCGGCGACGGACGAACCCCTCGCGGCCGCCCTCCCTTCACACACACGCAGAGAAGTGTGGGGGCGAGACGCAAAAGAGAGCCGCGCACACACGCCGCAGCAGGCGGCACGGCGCAGGCAAAGTGCGACGCCCCCGTCCTGCGAGGGGGAAGACACGCGGAGGAGAAGCCGGCCGCACAGCGCACGCCCAACAACGCACGCGGCGAGAGGGACGGGGCGGGTCCGAAGCCCGCCGCACAGCCTGCCGCTCCTCTGCCGCAGCGAAGAACAAAAAGAAAGAACCGTCGCCGGTGCCTCTAGAGGGAAGGAGGAGGAGGAGGAAACGGGGGCGTGTCGGCGGCACAGCCAGCGGCGGCAGTGGGAAAAAACAAGACGCGGAGACACGCAGCGGCACAGCGGCGGACACGGCGCACAAACTCAGCGTGAGCCGCAGTGAGTGGCCCCAACGAAAAAACATTAAAAAGCAAATGAAAAGAAATTGAAACCCCGCAACGCCCCTCCCAAAATTAAATGAAAATAAAACGAACTCACTTCGGCAGGTGGTGTTCCTTCACTTTCACGTGTCCAGCAGCACAAAAGGACCGTGAGGAAGTGTGTGTGTATATTTAATACCTGCATGAATAAAAAACGAAACAAATGCCCCGGTCGCACACACAACCACACGCACACTTGCATCTCACGGTGGCCGCGGCCTCGCGCCTCATTTGGGCGGTCCGTGCGACGCACAGCAATGCGGCCGGCACCGCGCGTGTGTGTGTGTGGGAGCAAACAGAAGAGGGGAAAAGGGTGCGCCGCCCGTGGGAAAGTGCATGGAGTGGAGAAGCAAGAAAAAAAAGCAAAGAAAAAGAAAAAGAAAAGGAGAAGGAAAACATCCCTCAGAGCACAGGAGAAAGAGGAATTGCCCCACAGGGAGGGCAAGGAAAATAAGCACACAAAAAACAGTACGCGTCGTCCCCTCCGGGGTGTGCGGGTGGATGTGTGTGTATCTTTTGCCCCTCAGCATTGCCCAGCAGCACAGGCAAGGGCAACAGTGAGCAGCAGCAGCGGCAGCAGCAAGGCCCGGGCACGCACCCACGCAGCGGCGGCGTCGCTGCTGTCCTTCTTGCCGGAGTGTGTTCTGTGGGGGGCCGCCGTCTCGGGGTTGTCTGCGCTCGCCGCACCCGAGTTGGTGCCAGCGGCGGCAGTTACACTCTGCCCTCCCGCACTGCGTCGGTCTGCGTTCGCGGTGCCGCCGGCAGGGGAGGCCGGGTCTCTGCTGCGTATCACGTCCCTCCCAGCCACATTCGGGCTGCTCGCCGCCCTTTCACCCAACGACCGCCCGTCGACTGAAAGCCGCGGTGTCGGCGTCACGCGGTCCGCAGGGGCCGCGCCAGGGACCCCGCCGCGAGCACCGCCACCGTCGCCGCCCAAGTGGGAAAAGGCAGGGGCGCTGGAACTCTGCTGCGCAACACGACCAGAAGGTGTCGGGGTCTGTGCTCCGCTGGGGGGAGGAGGAACATCAGTTACGGCGTGTGGGCAAACAGCGGCAGCAGCGGCAGCGGAAGGCAGTCCAGAGGCACAAGTCGCCGGCGGGTCATTGGGGCCACCCGCAACTCCAGCAACCGACGGTGGAAGCTGAGACATTTCGCCCCTTTTGGAATTCAACAACATCACTCCTGTCGCCACGAGGAGATGTACTGCCAGCACTCCCCATTTCATGCGAAGGCGTTGTGCCACCAGCTGCAGCTGCAGCAAGAGGCCCATTAGCCGTGGGAGGCCGGCCAGAGACACCCGGATGGCATGGCGCACAATTTCCCTTGGATACACAATCATCGCAGTTATTCGTACAGCAGCGAGTGGCGGAATCACGAAGCTCCGTTTTGTCGGGGCGCTGGGAGTCATTCTGCAACACAGGCGCAGCAGTTGCATGGCCCACGACGGCCCCGTTGGCAACCGGGGCAGCAGGGGAATTCGCGTGGTTCAAAGCATCGGAGAGGGGCCCGCCGCCAAACTGAAAAGCAGCCTTTGCACCGCCGCCTCCGACCGCCGCAGTCGCCCCGCTGACAAACGAGGCGCAGAGCAGCGCGAGGAGCGCCGCGGCGCACACCGCACGGCGCCGCACCGTCAGCGTCGTCGCCATCGGCAGAAGTAGTAGTGGTGCTCGTAGAGTCGTGGCAGACTCGCTGAAGTCAGCGGAGAAAAGACGCAGAAAACAAGAGAAGTAGAGAGAAAAGGAGAGGGAGTGCAGCGGAGACAGTGAAGAGAGCAGGTGGCAAAAAACAAAAAAGGCGGGAGCCGAGCAACTTCACGCAGCCACGCAAGAAAGACGCACAGCAGCGCCGGCATCCACCCACGACGGAGCAGCGAAGAGCAGCCGCCCCCACACGCACATGCACACGGGAAGTGGGCCCGCCACCACCACCCAAATGAGGCGGCTCCCGCAAGGAAAACGAGTCAGCCACAGCGCACTCCCCCTCGTGCTGTGCGGTTTCCTTCCCTTCCCTTCACAGCCCGCGAGGAAACCGCAGCAGCAGCCGCACACGGCACTGCCAGCGCAGGCTGAGAAAACATCATCCACCTGCACGGCACTACAGGCGCATCGCGTGCGCGTCGGTTGCGTGCGTGTGTGCGAAGATAAGTTTAGAGAGAAGCAAAGCAACGACGGCGGCGATGGGTTTGGGAGCGGCAGTGGGGGCAGCGCAACAAACAAACGTGCGGGGCAAAAAACAAACACGTGCCCCGAGCGGCCCGCATGCATCCGCCGCCGAGCACCGCAACTAATCAGCAGGGCCTGGGCACGGGCTGCCGCAGCCGCCACAGTCCCCGCAGTCGGCCCAACCGTCAACCCGCCAGTGCGCCGCGCCGCACGAGTTCGCTCCGCAGCAACGCGCGGCAGGGCAGCAGCGGTTGGGGCCCCGCATTTTACCCCCCGGTGCCGCTGCATGCACCCAAACAAACACGCGGGGGAAATCGGCAAGCCCCTCCCCGCGCGACTGGGGCAACGCAAAACATCCCCACGGCGAGCGCAGCCGCAGAAAAAAGAGGCCCCCGCCCGCCCCCAACACCACGCCGCTGCAGTCGCCAAAAAAGAAGGCGAGCACGCCGGGACGCACGACATGCCCGCAGCAGACGCCACCCAAAGGCACACGCACAGAGAAAAGGAAAAGGAAAGAAAAGAGAGAAGCACATCACCAGCCACGCCCGCACGCAGCGAAGGAGGCAGGAGGAAAGCAGCACGGCAGCCACACCGGGCACGGCGCCGCGGCTCAGCCCGCGGTGAGTCGCACGATCGCCGTGCAGAAGCAAAGCGAGCAGAAAAAAAAAGACTTACGGAAAAGCAAAAACAATTAAAACGGAAGACGATGCAGGCAGACAAATACGGCTGGCCACGCACGCCAACACTGCGCCGCGTGCATTTCCGCCCCCATTAAACAAAAACAAAACAAAAAGGAAAACCCAAAAGATATATGTTCCCTCCACCCCAACACGTCCCCCTCAATGCCCACGCAGCGCTCACTTTTTCATTGGGGGCACCTCAGCGTGCCGTCGCCCCGCCCACCCACCGCCTCCTCTGCGCGGCGCACGAAGAACCTTCCGCTCTGCGCGTCTCTGGGCGGGAGCAGCCGGCAGCCGCGAGTGGCGCCCGCCCCTCCGTGGGGAGAGTGGGCGAAGCAAAGCAATAAAGAAAAGTGTTTAGAAAAGAAGAAAAGAAGAGAATTGTTCCCGGCGTTCAACCCAACGGGAGAACTCGCACATGACCGGGAAGCAAAGACGATCCGCAGCGGATCAGCAATTAACTTGGAGGGGGACGCACACGCGTTCCCTCTGCGCGCCGCGGTCCAGCGACGCCACCGCCGCTCAGCACAGCGCGGAGAGGCCCCACAGCCCCAGCAGAAGCAGCGAGAGCATCACAGACACACGCCCACGCGCAGTGCCGTCGCCGCCGCCAGCCTCCCTCTGCACTGTGCCCGCAGCCTCCCTTGCGAGTGTGGCGGAGGCGTTGTTGAGGCCCGGCACCGGACCACCGCGCGGCACCGACGCATCCCCCGCAGAACTCCCAGCCGCGTCGGTCGTCGCGGGGCCAGTGCCGGCGGCCCCTGACGGCTCCTTCGACACGCCGCCAGCTGCTGCAGCCACGCCGTGCGCAGAGTTCGTCGGGTCACTGGCGGCGGATGCGGCGGTGCGGGGAGGCACCTCCGATTCCGTCACGCTGACCTCCCAACTCTTCCTTCCTCTCCAGCGCCACAACCTCGC